AAAGAGGCAGTGTGCATTTCGGTGGGAAGGAATAATTAAATCATTTTAGGTACAAAATGATTTAACTAAAAGAAATTGAATCCTTGACACTAAGTTCAATATTTGATACGAAAATATTTTCTTTTGGTAATTTCATTGCTTCCAAAACCGATGTAATTTGCAGCACTGTCCATCACTATTTAAGTTCCAGTTAAAAAAAAGTTTTGATTAAAGAGCAAAAGTGAACATATAATTTAAATATTGATCTTCCTACAGTAATAGTTGACATGAGATTAATCAGCGTAATTCTACTGAAAATATTGTTTGCTTCTTAAATTTGAATAGATAAATATTCTCATACATTTTGTATTTGTTTGAAAAATGCAATATATAACAGTAAAAACAATCTCGTAGTTCATATCTGAAACGCATTGTTTTCACTTGAATCATTGTAAACCGGTTGCTGGCTTAATCATAATGTGTAAACCTGATGAAAAACCTTTACCAGATCCGGCTGTTGTTGGTGCAATGGAGGTTTGATGTAATTTTCTCGACTTACTGAAATAGTTTCTAATTAATCTTACAAATTTAATAAGTGCCGATAAATAAATAATTAACAGTTTTTTTACTACATCAAAGTTTTAGGCTCTAAAGGCAGCCTATGAGAAAAAAGTGGTGCCATCTGAAATGCGTTATTTATACAGTGAATTCGATACTCCACCATTGCGTGATCAAGAATTTATGGTTCGTTTTCCCAATTATGTCTAATTATCGATGACACATTAGTGAGTAATTTAGCGAATAGTAGTTAATGAATAACGACAAGTAGCAATAATTTATCGATAAAATAGTAAAAATTGCTTTCAGATATAATTGTAAATGATATTTCGTCATTGAAATTGTTACTTTTCTCGGAATTTCGTATTAATCTTTGATATTTTGTACAAATTTTATTTTAATAACATTTTTTATTTTTTAAAAATTTCTTTTAAATTTCATTTTAAAAATTTTATTTTTTTCAATGTTTTTAGGTGATACAAGTTTCAGGGTAAACCAACGATATTATTACTTGGTCAGTACTCAGTAGGTAAAACATCCATGATCTCATATCTGTTAAACGGTAATTATCCTGGTGCTGATATCGGTCCTGAACCAACAACTGACATTTTTGCGCATGTCGATTATAGCGAAAAAGCACAGACAATATCGGGTATAACCTTGGCTTCTGATCCGAATTATCAATTTCAGGTTCATGTTTTAAGTATATATATAGCTTACACCAATCCGATTCGCCCTATAATTTAAAATTTCTTATATTTAAAATTACCCATAACTATAATAACATGTTTTATTTAACATCCTTTTTTTTAGTTAATGTTTTGTACAAACTAAATTTACTAGAACTATGGAAAAAATATTTTATCAATGTTCAATCATTTGTTATCAAGTGCTATCATAATATCAGTGAAATCATAGTATTGCGAAACTTTCAGTCATTGAGTATATTTGGTGATGTATTTCTGAACAAATTGAAAGCTACACGTTTCAGTGCACCACTTTTGAAACACATCTCTATCATTGATACACCTGGTATCCTTACCGGTGATAAACAGGTACCATTTTTATCACAAGAGAAAATTAAATTTGCTTCAAATAATGTGAATACCTAACAACAGGACCTTTGCAAACTTTTCCAAATTTTTAAAATTTTCTTCTAATTGTTTAAATGATAGTGAAAAGTTTGCAGGTAGAGAATAGAGGTTATGATTTTGCACAAGTTATCAAATTTTTATCCAGCAAAGTTGATTACATATTTTTGCTATTTGATGCTAATAAGCTTGATATCAGCGATGAATACAAGCAGGTTTCTGGAAAATCGAGATATTTTTTTCATCTCAAATAATGTTTCTATCTATTTAATTATTTTGAAGTAATGATAAACTGATTCAGTTTTTAGAGCAAATATTACAGGTCTTTCAGTATTATAGGTCATACAAATTTTGGAAGGTAATGAAGATAAAATTAAAATCATTCTGAATAAAGCCGATTGGGTCAGTCCGCGTGAATTAGTTCACGTACGTGGTGCACTAATGTGGGCACTAGGAAAAATTATGCGTTGTCCTGAAGTGCCCAAAGTAAGGACAGTTATCTCCTTTTTAAAAAAAAAAAACTCCAAAGACTTTTTATCTTGTTTTTGAAATTTGATTTGATTTAAAATCTGTACTTCATGTTCAAATTTTCAGGGATTTAATGAGTTCATTTATTTATATGCAATGTTAAGATGATTTACAGCATTTTTCATGTTAAAATTCAAATTTTTATATGAAGCTAAGGTTGGATATCATTAAGGTTTTCATTGGCTCATTTTGGCCATACTGGTCCAACAAAAACACTCTCCTGCGTGATGCAATTAAAGAAGATCTAACAGCTGTTGTTAAAGAAATTGCTGATTTACCTAATTCATATCACCGTAGACGTGTCAATGATGTGGCAAAACGAGCCAGAAATGTTGGTCCTACAATTATTGTAAACAAATTTAACATCGCAATCATCGAATAGTGAAACAAAAACAGTGAAATGCTTATCATATTTTTACTAAAATTGCTTAAAAATAGATGATTTTTTTGGATTTTTTTTTTTGGATTTTCTTTGCTAGAATAAGATTATGGTTCAACGATGAAGAATATACTAGAATATTTTAAGCAGATTTTTCATGTGTCCTTTTTTTTTTTAAGGTACGGATTCATGGTTATGTAATGGATGAAATCATGAGAAGAAAGCTATTTTTCACCAAAACTTCAACAGCAACCGATACGGAAACGCAACCACATAAATTGCGTGACGTATACAAAACTTTGGCAATAAATCGGCGAATTGTCCTGAATGATTTTCCTGATCCTGAATTGTTTCATAAAAAAGCTAAAAAAGTAATCCATTTTCTGAAAATAATCATTTTTAGATTTCGATTTAAATCGTTTTTACAAGAATTTAAAGTATTTTTAATCCTTTCATCATTGATTGGAAATGTGAAATAGCAACAATAAAAGGCAAAACTTTTCATTAAAATAATTTCCCTCATTTTGCTTTATTTGATTGCATTTTATAGACTAAAGCAAAAGATTGGGCACGAATTGATTACAAATTAGAAAAATTACTCAATTCATTCATTGAAAATGACATTTCATCAATTGCAAATGCAGCAATAAATGAAAAGGAATGTGAAGTGAAATTTCGAGTACCAAAAAAGGTACCACTTCCTGAGGTTGGTAATTCAAAATCTATCGTCTTTTTTATTATTCTTCTACCATTTATTATATCTTATTTACTAATGTTATTGGCCAAATGAACTAAATGAGTGTTGGAATGAGCCTAAAATAACTAGGCTGAAGTTGTTGAGAAATATTAGCAAGAATGAACATTTCATGTAACTTTTTAAATTTATTATTAAATAGAGCAAAAAAAGAAAATCACTCATATTTACAACTGGCCAGTTTTTTATATTATCCTTCATAAAATTCCTTTCACAAAGAAGGAGTCAATTTGAATAATTGAAAAAATAGGTTAGATGATTGTATCTATCAATTAGATTTCGTCATTCAATTATCGTTCAATGAACAATAACCATAACATGAGGTACTGCCAAAGCTAAATTTAGTATATTTTAGTTGTAGATATGATACAATTCATTTAAGGATTGAGAGGGTTTCAATTCATTACAATAAAATTTTGGCCAAAAATAGTCATCGAGTAGAAAGTGGACAGTCAAATTAAATTAATCAATGTATATGTTTACTCCTTTATGGTGTATTTTAGGATTATAACAAATTGGTAAAAAGCAAAAAATTGCCTGAATTTCTTGCTGAAAGTTCGCAAAATCAATCATTAAAGGATGAGAAAAAGTTATCCGAGAAGGATTATTCCAAAGGAAAAAGTGCTAAACAGTCAAAAGATGAAAATGTTAGAAGCAAAAATGAGAAAGATAAAAATGGGAAAAATGATGAGGAAATGAAAAAACATGATAAAGCAACGAAAAGCTCTAATGAATCAAATCAAAAATCAAAACAGCGAAATGTAAAAAGTGAAAAAAATTCAAAAAGTGCACAAATGGAAAATCCTCTAAAAAGCAGTAAACATGAAGAAAGCAGTGAAATGAAAAGTAAAGGTAAAAAATATGAATTTAGTTAAAATTTAAATAAAATGATGTATTTTAATCAATTATTAAAATGATAATGTTTAATTGTAAATGATGTGCATGCATTTTGGAATGATATATCACACATTGAAATTTATTATAATTTACTTA